TATCATCATTTATTACACCATCGAGCTAAGTAAAAGTATTATATCATAGTATAAATAATATTTTAGATTTGAATAAGATAGTCGTGTCAAAGATCAGAGGTGGAGCAAAACCAGAAGTGAGTCTGATTTATTAAATTACTTTCTAGCTTAAATGTATTATGAAAAATATTTTAATAATGTTTTAACATTAATAAATTATATTTTAAAGAATAATTATTATTAATTAGTCTAGACAATTAATTAACTATTAAGAATAAAAATAATTAAACAAATCATTCTTCATGCAAACATAATAGGAAGATAAATACTAAAATTAAATTTGGATTAACCTTTACGTTTTATGAGAACTGTTTGAGAAAACTTAGAAAACCTAGAGAATCTTTTACAAAGCATATTTTAAGTGATTCTTATTTAGGTTTTACTATATAAAGCCAATAGCATGATTTAGCCTGGGTCACTACAATTTTGAGGAAAATCTAAATGCATCATTCTGATTTATTTTTTACCAAAACTCTATATTATTGCTTAATTTGTAAGAGGTGCAGGCGGAAAGTCCTATTGAATATATTCTGCAGCAGTAAAGTTTGCAAAAATTTAACAAACCTAAATTTTTTCTTGTCTAATTTTTCCCAACTTATTAATTGTTAAGATGTGCTTATCCTTAAGAACCTTCCATAAATTTACTGATATTTAACTACTTTGCTTTTCCAATGAGCCGAAATCTCAGGCCACAAGAAGCACTTTATAGTAAAAAAAATTATTATGTTTCAAACGAAGCAAGAGCCAGTATTAAAACTATAAAGTATAAATGAGTTATTTTCATATATTTTTAGATATATGTTTAGATGCACATACATATTTGTGCGCTTCTCTCATATACATATGCGCATACATGAAGGTAAACAAGAAATACCTACCTCACATATTGTAGCCATCTGCGCCAATGGAGCCGTTAGATCATCGATTTCGGCTTCGATTCCATCTCCACCATAAAGTTCATTATCGAAACTTGTCCTTCGGCCAGCTCCACATGAAATAACGGAGTTAGAACGGTGTCGAATCATTTCGGCACTCTTAAGGAGTAAACGCCTAAATCGACGCAACAAAATTATTTCACTGCGACTGAAGGACATGATAGCGGTTCGACAGGAAACAGCATTAGGAAATTCTGTAATCACCTGCAAATAAAAATAAAGTAAATACCCATTTTTTACACGCTTGAGCTATTAGAAATGTTTTCTAGACCAATTAATTTAATAAAACAACATAAAATTGAATATAACAGTATTTACAGCATTCGTAGAAACTTAAACATATTCTAATTTTCCCTGATCACCCAAGCATGTTATTAACATAATAAAAACCTAGCAGACTATGTAGCTTATTAAACAATGAAATAATATCAAAAATGATTTTATATTTTATAATTACACGGCTAAAAGCCAAGTTTTAGTAAAGT